AAAGGTTATGCTTGGCATTGTACATGTTGAATTACAAATATTTAACATATAACACCACCTGATAATGGAAGAAGGGGTTATATGGCCTGGGTACCCATCCCTGTATTATTGCCACAGACTATTAACTTCCTTTTGTAATTAGTTTTACCAAACATTTTCGCTGTTTAGCTTCTGCTATCTCAAGAGGAGTTATCTCTCTCTCCTATAATCTATAAAAAGGGGTCTGAATTTTTACCATGAGAATGTTTTCCTGGATAATAATATTTAATTGGTGTTGTAGTGGGATTTGCATTTTTATTACTGCCTTCAGAGTTCTTCCTTTTCACCTTCCAGTACACTCCAAGTTGTCTTTTGCAATTGTATATATTACATAGAATGAGTATGTTATATATTACGAGAAAGTTCAGTCCTCGATACTGTCAATTCTTGCTCTGTCAGTGCTTGTTTAATTTAGTTTGTTATTGTCTCTGTAGTATTAAAAAGCTTCTTGTCTTGGGAATATGAATGAATATTTTGAGAGTCTGTTATGAAATAGGGGTTAATATCATTCTGTATTTTGCATTTATTTATATGGTAATATTTAATCCCACTCGAATAAGATCTCATGTTACCGAGTTAGTTTTCTATTGATATTTTTGTGATAAATATAGTTTGAATTTTAAATTAAACATTTTGTTTAGTGTCTTTCTTTACCACATCTTGGCCAAGATCAAGAAAATACAGATTTACTGTATATATCATTTCTTGGTCATACCTCTTGTTATTAAAAGGACACTACTGCATTAGTTCAAGAAAGCATTTAATTTAGAAGTACCACAATCATACAAACTACTAATTACAGCAAAAAGAAGCTTTCTTTTTAAATGTTAGATGCAAATGTGTATATATTTTTTTTAACTTAGAATATTTTCTAGTTTTTGTGATTGCAAATGGATCACAAATTATGTATTAACAAAATATAAAGTTTAGAGACACATTTAAGGTCTTTTAATCAGTGGTACTATGGTAGAAACTTACAACTTCAAGATGTAGTAATTAAGCTATTACATCAGCTTATGTTTGCTGGATTTCACATTCCTAGAGCAAAGTGTCTAAAAAACCTAAATTAGCTTTATTTTTTATCCTTTGGCCAAAATATGTACAAATATTCTGTATCTGACAGTTTTTAAACCAATTTTATATTGTTAGGCAGTAGATTTCTCCGTTTGTTTCAGGATATTCAGTTTTTTTTTATACAAGGGCTATCCACACTAGCTATTCCTAAACAGAAGGCAGCTAGACAACAACATCCACCACTAATAATCTGAGGTAGTTAAATATATAAATTATTTCATGTCAGGTTTATAATTTTCAGCATTAATTTAAAACAGTTATACAAAGCAAGTTATTTTTCTGAAAAGATAAAACCTTTATTACTTTTATTTCAACTATGATTATGTACATAATGACAGTAGGAGAACAACAAAACATTCAAAACAAGGATGTTCAGTTTACAAAAACATCACAGAATGAAATATAATGGGTACCATAGCGCCACTACTATTTCTTATGGTCATTCACTTCTAAACTTCATTCTATAGTATTTACAATTTAAAACAATCGATTTTTTTTAATATTGCAGACATTTTACAAACTAGAATAGACTAAACATCAAGAAACTACATAATTCTAGTATTATAGTAATATATTTTATTCTCAGTAGTTAGTTTTAGCTGTAACAATCTCATGCTAATAAACAACTATACAAATTCTTCCATTTTTATGAATACAAAGATGATGTAATACACTTTTAAGCAACAAAATTCTGAGTGGACCATTTTCTAATATTTATGAAGTTATTCTTTACATACTGGTATGCAGATGTGTGAATGATGCTGTGTCTAAGTCATTTAAGAAGGTCATTATGTGCTTGGACAGGAAGTTGTGTTCCTAATGCTGTCTCTAGTACTGTATCTTAAGTCACGTGTGTAATCATTTTTCAGAAAATTGCATGTGTATTGACACTCAAGTGGAAGCTTTTATGATTAATGTTAAGTTTCTCATTTAGTTATTTCAGAACAAAATCATGTTCGGCAATGTTGTTAGTATCCGCCTATTCGAGTGGATAGTTATGTGATCTATGCTATATTTCTGCAACAGTCATCTCAGGTATGCTGTATGACAATAACATCTCACTTTCATGCAAGATTAGTGCTGTTTGATTTAACTCAGTTATCATATTAAAGAAAATGTGATACTGTTAATGGGTAGTTTTAGCAATGTACCCATATGTCTGAGAAGCTGCACGTGTGATATTATACAGCAGGAATACTGGTCACACAGTTTTACTGGTAAGATATGACACGTAATGTCAAAAATATTTCAGCAACCAACAACACTAAATCTTTGCAGCTTTCAATAAGAAATGCTTAGTTCTCAGGTTTATGATTCAAAAATTATTTAAAACTGCTTCCAGTAATTAATCATTAAGAATGTTTTTATCACCTTTTAGATTTCTTCTCATACACAAAGGGCCGAACTACTGTATTCTCACAGAATATAACAATTTTTGGGGTTATCTAAATCTCCAAGAAAACACCATCAAAATTGATAATAACCGTACACCAAAGAGTAAAATACCAAGAATTAAAAAAAAAAATTAAAGATTCAAACTGGCTACAGTTATATAACATCTTATAATGCTTCTCTAGATGAAGTATAAACTTCATCATATAAGCAGTCAAATACTGTTCTTGTAGCTAACGTTCAATATAAAGAAAAGATTAAAATATTTTGTATTTTGAATGTAGAAGCTAAATTTCAAATATGAAAAAAATTAAAGTAAATAGGGCTGTAAAAAAATATTTTCCATTGGTGCTTCTAAATCAACATATAGCAAGCTTAAATTTTTATTGGATTAAAAGCTTATTCACCGATTGACTTTTACATATGAATACTGAGAAAGTTCACTTAAATTACTCTAACTGGATTAATTGAAATACACTTACAAAAAAGTGAATGCCTAAAGCAATCATATAATATTGAAAACTGCTTAAAATAGACCAGTGCCATAATAAACTCAAATGCTCTACAACTGATATTTTTCCTACACTTTTTTTTTACGAAATATCTACAACTTTATCCAGTATAATATATCTTCTGTTAAAGATCCATTTTTTAAACATAGCTCTCAAATTATACCTTTTTAATTCTATTTTTACAAGAAGATTATTGGGATAGTTACTATTCTCATACTTTTAATGGTAGACATTACACAAGACATCTTTGATGCCATGAGAACAAATTTAGGTCTCACAATTTCATACTGTGTCATCAAAACCATGAGAGATTTAAGATTAGACAACTATACAAAATTAAGCCAAATCCCATTATGGTTTTCTTTTTCTAGTAATGAGTAAAAAAGGCACTTTTTTGTTAGAAAAATAAGTGCATCACATCAATTGCTGTGAAAGACAAAATGACCTTTTAAGTCAACATGACACAAGTTGAATCAAATATAGAAAACCACCCGAATACGGTTGTTCTATTTGTGATTGTTATACCAAATAAGATTTTTAAACCTCCAATGTTTAATGTATCAAAAACTTTAAAATCACTAACTTGGATTCACAATTCCCCAATCAATATATATATATATTTTAATTTAGAAAACAAATTATTTAAGATTGTTATCTATATTTGAGCACATTTTAACTTTAGATAAACTAATAAAGTAGTAATTAACTATAGATTTCACCTACTGCTATAATCTTCCTCACATTCACAAAATCATTCAGATAAAATAACCTAATAATAAGTGGATCTGAAACTTCTGTTAATAAGTGTGATTTCTGTAATTTTACTATCATTCTGTTACTTAAAGCAGCTTGCTTCTATATACTTTTGCATTTTTTAACATTAGACATCAAAAACCTACATGTTACAGAGACAACAGTTTAACTGTTTACACTAGCATGATTAATTTTTAAGAAACTATTTCATACAAAATGGATATACTAAACAACTAATTGTAGTCCCTTGAAAATAATTACAAAACAGAGGTGAAAAAAAAATTGATTTACACAATGTACAAATTACTCTATTACTGGAATTATTATAATGGTTAAAATATTACTAAAAGACAAATACCATATACTGAATTTTTGGTACAAAATAAGTCAAATGTATTTATTCAAATGACCATTGCTATACTTTTTACTCCAGATACATGGATAAAAGCAATTTTTAATTGTTTTAGTTGTTATACTAATCTTAATTACAGAAATAAACCTCATAAGGATTCATGCTAACATTGTAAATGAAAATTACTATGCAATAACTAAGTGAAGGAATGGAATTAAAATGTAAAATCACAATTAACTACAAATGCATGTAATTCTGATTTCCTAGCAAGAATTGTAAAGCCATCTTCAAATTCTGGACATGCATTTTGAAATGACTTACTTTTATGACCATCAAGGAATGATTACTGAATACAACAGTATCATTGTACAGTGTTTTATGAGGCTGTTCATGTTATGAACTTGAAATTCTCAAGATTGGAAAGCAATGGTTGTCAAAATGATATTATTCAGTAATCTTATTAAAACAAAGAACATAAAAAATCATTATTATTATTTTTTTGGTGATGGGTACTTTGGACACTCAAAGGCATTTTAAAATTGACATTGAATATGATCAATAAAAGCTGTCATTACCAATTACAACATCAGCTATTAATATTATTCAATTCTCTAGTATAGATCTAAGGGACTTAATTCTGCTAGACTACTATTCAAAAATGTGAATCATTGCAAAATTTGGAAATCACAGCATTTTTTTTCCTTTTTGGAAATTTCTAAAAACATTTAAAAACAATCTTTATGTAAAGGCCTCTAATTTCAGTTGTATTAACTTTTTTTAACCTCAGCACCAACAAAAAACACATTTAAGAAACACATTGTTGTGTCAGTTACAAAGTTGGATTGGCACACCTATCTTGACTTTCACTACAATGTCAATAACTTGTTCCAATCAAAATCTCTGTGAGTCAGTTACTTCAAATATCATTAGGAATTTCCATTTACACATTCTTAAGCTATCAGCTTACATAATGATATGCTCGTAATGATGTTTCAAGAAAGAAATGTGGCACATTTGCCTATTTGTACAAAGATAGTGAATCTTTAGCAATGAAATATGGTTATACTAGGTGGACGATTCAACATGTTTCCAAGAAAACTTTCTGCTAATCACACAAATTAACTCAATGAAGTTGCACTTACAAACTTTCACAATCTAACTGCTACCTTTATTGATGAACTTTATGGACTTCTTGCTGCCACGTTACCTGCCAATACGTGGTGCAAAAATATTAAATATGCAAAAAGTGACCAGCTCTTGGCAGGTTTGAGGAATTTCCCTGAAATTCTGAATAAGTCCTTGCTTCTGAAATCAATAAGGAAGGTTTGCAACTTGAAGATGTTAAGAAAACCTTTGATATATATTATGACAATATGTTCATTTAATTTTAGCTCTCAAATTTTATATACAAACATCATTTATGTAAAAGTTACAATGTTCTAAAGCACCATTCTTAAATGTACTTCCTGGTAATCAATGAGACCACCAACCAATCTATTCAATGACACTAACACAAGAACAATGAAGTACATAATTTTTTTCTACTTAAAATATAATTATCACATAAAGTTTTAAAAAAACTATTTAATATGTATTCTAAATACAATAATCAATAAGAGGTACTTGAAGCATTAAAGACTGAATAGATCATTGCTGTATTTCTGTTTTTCTCAATTGATACGACTATCCATAAAAGCTATTCTGATCTGTTACATGAAATAAAATAGTATATACAAATTATTCTGAGAGATTAGATTTGTCTTTTTTATAACATACATATAGCACATAAATGTTATATGTAAACTATCTAACACATAAAACATTACAATTGATTTTTTTATATAAAACAAACTTTTGACTCTGAGCACAAACTTCCCTCGTGTAGAGTGCTCCATTTCAGCTGGCTGTGAGGCAATAGGTGGCACAGAGTCATGTCAGAACAATCAAAAAGTTCAAATTTTATAAGCAGACATTTCTGTAAAATTAACCTACACATGAATAAAATCATATGAAAATGATGGTAACATACTTTTCAAAATTTTCTTTATGTTAATAAGCTTAACCCTGCTCACAACATGCTGTGGTGGACCTATTAGATGCAAATTTAATTCAAATATTTGCGACATCTTCTTGAGCCGCAAGTACAGGGAATCTTCACATCTTCAAATGGGAATTTATAGTCATAAGTTAGCTCCTCTCCTTTGTTTATCCTTCAAAGCAAAATTAATAATTAGTCTTGGAACAAATCTTTATACCACATTTATATTTTGTTACCATTTAGGCAATTTAACCCATTGACTGCAATTGCTCTAAATGTGCACGGAATTTTTGCAAGCCATACACTGTATAAGGCACACTTGCATTCAACTGCCGGAGGCAGAATGTACCCCATATGGCGATTCAGCAGTCAATGGGATAATCTCAAGAACACTGGCATGAAAGACTCTTTTCAGTTCTTCCAAAATTTTAAGAAAAATCGTAACTGCGTTAAATGAATATAACATGTCTAAAATAGTAAATGTACAAACTGAGATATCATACGTGGCTGGAATATCCCTATTCAAAAATATGACATAGTTCAAATATGTTATAGTTAGTATTTATTTTTTTCAATGCACAAATATGGCAAGATATGATATATTTATGCAAAAGCATGACATGGTTAGAAAGTTTTTATTTATAAGAATATATGGCTTTTTTTACTTTAATTGGAGAGTGACATAATGGTAGATTCTTTCATGATTATGATATTATTAGTATTTCATAGGAATAAGAAAGAGATTTTTGCTGAATTATGAACTAAGGAAAAATGTTAACCCTTTCCAGACTTGAGGGAAAACACTAATATTTTGTTCTTTATATTCTCATAGTGAAAATATTTAACTAAATTGAATTAAACTCAGCATAAACTTTCTAAATAATATCTCGTTTTTATATGAAAACTACTAATAAAATCTCAACTTTTAACATCCAACTTTTTGCTTTAGTGAGATATATGCAATAAAGTGAAACCTGTAACTTGCCAATCCTGTCTTTCAAAAAATGTCAGTAATTCTCTATTACATTTGTTAGTGCATTATATCTAACCAACAGAAAGAGAAGATTTCAATTTACTGAATGTGAAAGGGCTTGGAGCTGTTGAACAATTTGCCATCTTTCTCATTGTTTGACAGTGTTGGAACCCTGCTTGACCACGTATGGAAATTATTTAGCCCATTTCTAGCTTAGACAGATGGCCAGATAAATTATATTAGCTTTAGGACATTCTATCTTATATGCATGCAATAATTTGTATTCTAAACTGCATATTTAAAAAAAAATTTCAATAATTTCTGAGGCCATACTATTGTTATTAAGAAGGCCTAGTGTTTGATGTGGATTTCTATCATACGAGTACAAAAGCTTGAAAAAAGACAAGACTTCAAATGTAAGTACTAAATTTCTTGTATGTATATTTTATATTTATTGTTATAAAAGTAATTAAAATGTAAATATTAGAAAATTTTAGGTTAGGTAAAAAAATTAAGTAAAATATTGGGAAAGTATGCAACAACCAGGAGTGTAATTGTGTAATTCAATAAGCATGCTGGTAACTTCTTATGCTGTCCTGCATAAGAAGTAACTATCACCATACTCTGAGGGGGGGGGGGGAGAAGGTCTAAATGCAATTGTAAAGAAATAAAACTAAATGAAAAATCTATTAGCTTTGGCTGTGAATAGAAAGTGTGTAATTGTCTGTTACAATGTGCAGGCATCATAGAAAGTTACTAGGTCAGTCAAATAGACTGAGCACCTGCAGTGTTAGGGTAGAAAAAATAACAGATAAAATACAAAGTTTTCCTAAAACAAAAACTTTTGATATTCATATAGGAGGCTGTAGAGATTATGCAAATGAAATATGAAATTTGTAAATTGAAAAAAGTATGCTGAACATGAAAAATCACTTTGCACTTGGACTAGTCAGTCGGAGTCAGAATCTGATTCAACAAATTCACAGACAAATCTTTAATAAAAATACTTAATTACAAAAATTTTTTTTCTAATATGTGTGTATGTGTATATATCAAAAACTTGTAACGTTTACTAAAAGTTTGCAAATTTTGTATAGTTTAGCAGTTACAAGGTTCATCAACACTACAGAGCCAATCTACGTGGAGTTAATTTTAAAAGTTGACAGAGTAAACTTTCTGATAATAAGACAGGTGGTAGCACTGCCTATGTAAAGATAGTTCAGATTGTTCATCTAAATGGTATTTTAAATATATCCTCAATAGGTCATCAGAACTTTACAATACTGTACAGTGTTTCCTTTTATAACAATATCTATGTAATTACTGAGTCAAGTTCTGGGAATGTCTGTAAATATGGTAGCAAAAAGTTTGAATTTCTTGTTCTTCTTTCTTCTGTTTCTTTTTTTATTACATAACTCAAAAATCAAAGCAATGGTGTCAACCAATTTCACAAAGGTGACACAGTTTCAAACAGAGTATCCACTTTTATAAATATTATTAACTAGTAATAATTTAAAAAAAAATCACAAATCTAATGTAAACGATGGTATCATTACCCCTTGAATTAGCTTTCTTACAGAAATTTTGTGTTCCTTTAATAACACAGGATGAAATAGGAATTACCAGCCAATAATAGATATTACAGTTGGAATCTCATTGTATTTAGAACCTGGTTATAAATACAACCTTCCTATATCTATTGAAACACTGCATTAAAATAAACAAGCAAATAAGATAGCAGGGATGGCATTTGCATTATCCCTAAGTAATAGCACAGGTAAGTATTAAAAATATCAATATATACAAGTATTAATTTACTTTCTTTTTTCTTTACTTGTAAATCATACAAGCACCATATGACTTAGATAGGTTTTATCAGCAAACCATAACCTCAGATGTCAAAACTGTATCATCACAGTTGGATATTTTGCCAACAATATCAGGGAGTGCAGTGGCTATCCCTATGTAGGGATGAGTCCAGTTGAAATTGGCAGCCTGTACAATTTTAACACAGTAGTGCACACGCTAGGACGTTCACAAAACCTAGCAAAAGTGACAGCAGAAAGCCTTCACTACTTAAGTATAAAGTTCAGCTAAGATTTCCTTGACATCTACAAAAAAGGGCTTCAGGAACATTGATTTTCTCCATCTTCTTTTCCTTTCCATAAGCTATAACTCATAAACCACAGTGTGCCTAGTTCCAGCCTGCACACCAAAACACTTCACTATACACTAGAATGTGCCTTTCAAACCTAGAGCCCCAGGTAATCCACAATAGGTTAGATACATCTCAAAATATATGCAATTATACAGACTGTTGATATTGCCAAATATGTATATCAATCAATAAATGGCGTCACCTGTGATGCAAATGGGTAATGCCGATTTTCTTCCCATCCCAAATGCTCTCTAGTTTCTGATCTTTTTCCATCCTTACATTCTAACAATTCTGGAATAAAATTTTGTATTGCTAATTTTCAGTTGAGATAAGTTTATGTTAAATATGTGATGTCTTGTTTTCAATAAAATAAGTAATACTTGTATTTGTATGTTTTTGAATATAATAAAATCAACAATAAATTCAATAACAGGATTTGTGTCACCTGAATAGTCTGACATTCCACTGCTAGCAAGCTTATTGCAGTCTTTAAATCTAATCTTGCCATAGATAATTATTTCAGTTGCTCTCAAACACACAACATAAAAACATTACCAGGAAGAAAAAGAAATTCAAAAGAAACTTTAAAAACATATTAAATCTGTGATTTTATTCCCATGTATTAAAATTATCCATTTGAATCATTTGTTCACCCCTACAGGAACTCTGGGTGGATAATATGTTTAAAATCACAAATTACAGTAAAAACAACTTTGTTTACTCTATAGTAACATATACAGATTTAAATCTCCTATCCTATATCCAACTTATTTTCAGCCATAAGCTCTAGCTTTCAAATCAGTTACATCAGGATAGGTTAGACAACCTATCCAAAAGTAACGAGTCATTACAGAGAAATAAATTACATGAAAAACAGACACAGATACTTTTTTTGCCAAGGGATGATAATTTCTTAGCAAATACAAACAAACCTTGGGATGAACAGAAAGAAATTCTACAAACGTTTTCTAGTGTGTTTACATACATAGCTGCACAGAAAATAAAGTTGGAACAATTTTTTTTTCCTTTTCCTTGTTGAAATATGCTACTATTATTATGTAATGTTAAATTATTCTAAAATATTCTTGAATAAACAACTGTTAATATAGAATTACAGTTTTCACTTACATACAAAATATAATATGGAGATGTCTTTGAAACCTCAGAAGTACACACTAGTTGTGATAGGCTTAAAAGACTAAATACAATGAGTAAGAAAGTTTTAAACGTGATATTTAACACATGACTGCAAATATAAAAGTCTGAAAGTATACCAATGATGAAAGAATTATGATTTCTCTCATTCTGTGAAGTATGATGTACTTATATACCCAAAAAGACTGGAAGGAGTGGGATAATTTTGTAAAAAAATTGATGAAAAAAACTCAAACGAAACTCACCTCCTTAGAGCAAAGATCACAATATGCTTTTTTCCATCAACAGTGACAACTTTTGAATAACAATTGGGCTGAAAAAACAAGGCAATATGTAAAAAATGTAGAATTTTATAAATATATACAACTTTTGAATAAATATTTTAATGTGGTTTAAACTATAAGCTGCAAATGAATAACACAATTCAACAATTTTCACTGAAAATAAACAGTTACCTTTTTTTTAATTAGGCAAGTCATTTTGAGTGATTACACTGTATGTGTGAAATAATTTTACTATTAATAAACCCACCAAAATATAATTTACATAGACTAAGTGAACACTTAAACATAGTTGCTCATAATAAATAATGCATCTTGCTTTACTCCACAGTCTTGTTAAGAAACCAATATAGCTTAGAATTTGTATGTCTGGTAATCAGTAATTAATTTTATTCTTAGTTCTTTTATAATAACAATTAAGCAGGTTGTAACAGTTAACTCCCACTCTGAGAAAAACAGCTTATACAATAGCCATAACCAAAACTAGAAGTTGGAACAGCCACAAATTCATAGAAGAAAAAAAAAGAGATAAACATCATGAAGTTTTATGATGTTACAATTTGTTGTATTTTCAACTGATAATTTTTGAATAAAATAATAGTACTAGTACAAAACATCAATTAATTTTTCACAAAAAAAACGATTATCTAATAAAAAAAAAAGCTAACAAACTTCAATGCTTTAAAAATATAATATTGAATATAATATTTTTTTCTCCTGGTGTACCAAAACTTTTGTTTTGTTAATAAAACTTCTGATGAGTAAATGGCTAACTTGGCAACATAATACTTTTGATTTTTGTTTGCATAACATTATATGGTAAAGATTAGAATGAAAATAGCATATTCGTTTATTATACTCATGTTACTATAAGATAAACTTCTATGTAAAAAACATAGACAAAAGTTATCTTTATATTCAAAATGGCATATGATTAAAATATAATAAACCAAATTGTCTTTTAAAATGTTTTTAACTACTTGAAATCTTGTCGTGATTTTATCACATTATTTTCTGGTATACAGAAAGCTACAATTCATATTTTAAAGTCAGTGATTATATATCAAAAAACCCATTTTTACATAATGTAATATTATTCAACTGAATTTTAAAACCTACCTTAATATTTTCTTGAAGCTAAAACAATGTTTTTATAAAATTTTTATAACAATGTTTCTCATAAACTTAGTTTTAAAGCATTTATTAGTTTCATACACACTTAGCTTATACTTCATAAAACTATTTTTCTACAAGAAACATATTACCATGACAATAAATGATCATTTTTGCTTCAAACTCATCATACAGATTTATAACATCAAAAGTTAATAATTTTAATTTTTGAACAATTCTTCTATAACATTACTTCACTGAGTTAACTTTGAAATCTTTGTAAAATCATTTAACAAGTCTATACAACTTTACAATGCCAAAATCCTTAGTGCTTTATAATACTGTGATAAGCACAAGTTTTACAGTAAAAAAAAGCATTTTTATCAACCATTTTACTTACTTCACATGAATGATTAATAAAGCGTGCAGCATTTCCACACATTGTTGCATCCACTACTTCATTGTCATCAATTCGAAACATGTAACAGCCAATACCCTATAGAAAAGATACACTTTTTCATATATAAAAGTATTAATATCCATAATTTATCTTTTTCTTTACAGTTGTGAATTATCTTCGATATAAACTATGTGATACACTAGGAACATCAATCTAGTTAGCTATTAATTTTTATCAGGCTAAAACATTTGTTCAATCCACTTGGTGAACACTTACATTAGATTGTGCTTTCTCTTGAAGACCAACATCTCATTACTATATTAAATCTCTGAGAGAATTAAGAAGGAAACTAATTCAATTAAATATATAGTTTACTTGAATACCAATTCAGAAGAAAATAACATAATATAGATCCTAACTACAAACTGTCTATTTTCTATCCATTTATACTTGTACAGAAGAATACCTTCAACATTAAACCTTGTCATTTGTGGCATAACTTGTCCATTTACAGATATATCAAGAGATCTGACAGAGTTTTTAACTAAAACCTGTTTATAATTTCTGTTTGTGCAAACAGAAAACATTAGAGCAATTTAATGTAGTTATTCAGCATTATCTGTCACAATAACATAAAAAAAGATTGAAAGAATTAGAAAATTTACTGAAAAATGGGTTTATTTAATTTGTTCCAAATTATGACCATTGTTAAAAACAGTTTGATGAAGTTCCTATAAAATATGTTAATTTTGGTTATAAAACTTTTATCTTCTTACATAAAGAGGTTATAGATAATCTGATAAAACTAATTAGTACCATTTCAACTTCATTTATTATATGAGTCAGTGCAGGTAGAAGAAGAAAGGGATAATTTTATGATGTTATTTACTATAAGATTCATCTATTCTGACTAAACAGGATACTGGTATATCTGTGTGTGTTTAAGCAGCACATTTTAATTCACTTTGTAATACCTGTCTATCCCAGTACACAGATATTACAGATAATCTTGTAGACTGATATCACACCATTAATTTGTTTTATAAAATCTGTTTGTTTTGATACAGAAAAAGTGTTTTCAATATCACATTATAATGTTATTTGTCTCCTACAAAAGAGACTATGCTGTTATGTAATAAGATGTTTGACATTAGCCCTACAATTTTTTTCCAAACATTCAAATATAATTATACAAAATAAAATAAACAAAAATAATGAAAAGACCATTAAAAATAATTAAGCAACCTTGCTTTCATAGTACTTCTCCCTCTTGTCAGTTAGGACAGGCCTTATTACTTCACCAGCATATTCTATAACCATCTCACCAGGATCTATGGTACGTTTGCAGAAGAGTCCACGCCCATGGATACGTGACCTGAAAATAAGTTATGATCAATCAAATGCAACTAATTTCTGAATGAAACAACTTACTTGCTTTTATATCAAAAACAAATAATTCATATGCATGGTTTATAAAGCTAAGAATGATAGAACATTTATCTCATTCTGAGAAGTTGGATAAATCTTCATAATAGTGTTGTAAGTTATATTTCTGCTGCTTGGATGAGAAGCAGATTAAAAATACAACAAATTTTGTAAAATTATTGGTTTTCTTTGAGACTACTTCAAAATGTTCTGACAAATGCGACTTTTGATTGTCAACAAGATATCAAAAAATGTATACATATATTTATATCGTTCCTCAATTTATTTCAATACATTCATGCAGATATTTTCTTTAAAAATTACTGTGCATCACCACAAATAAAACATGTTTGGCATTAATTTCAAAAAAGTTTTGTATAGCTAGCATTAATCAATCTCAGTCAGCACACAATCCTGAGAATATTGTTTGACTGTGATTCATCACTCTCTGAAACAATGCTGTTTATGGTAAGAGTACACATACTGAAAGAGTTTCATAGCACACAGTCAGTACATTATTTGTGTATGTAGTATGATATAACCTATACAGATCTCAAATATTATGACAACAATACAAATTTTGAGTGTTACTACCAAAAGCTACACTAAAATTTTAATTGGAAAGATTGATATCGTAATGTATTAAGTTTCTGCATTACTATGCTACTTTTATGATTTAAATAGTAATCTAATTATGTTAAATTTTTTGTTGATAACTAAAAAAACACTTCAATCACAAATATTAAAGATTAAAACAATTTCATAAACTTTTAAGTATGATAAAAATCATATTGTTATTTTATAAATGCTGTGGATGAAAGCTGCTAAAATACAAGTTCTAAACTCTGTACATCACTTGCTTACCAAAGAGAATTGTTTAGGCTTCTCAGAATAATGGTTTTCACTCAATACCAAAAACAATATAGCAGACAAAAAACAACCAAGAAACTGTTTGTCTTTAGAAACAGAATAGCCATACTTAACTTGGAGCTGACAGATTATAGTGGGCTGTTCTTTTCTGACCGAATAGTGGGATCTGACTGTCACTCTTACAGTGCACTCACTGTCCCAATTGCAGAGCATTTTTTGTCAATGGGACACAAACCATGAATCATCAGATACACAGTTATGACATGCTAACCACTGGTCTACCTTTTATGATTATATCTTTGTTATTTTGTACATATAAGAAACTATTAAGCATTGTTCTTCAGCCAGATAAAAGTTAAAACCATTTCCAATTTACTGACCATATGTCTATATTTATAGTCCCAAATACATAAAGGAAAATTTCTATATCAGTTACACTTCTAGCTTATCTTTTTTACTTTTATTCTCCATACATTCTGTGAAGAAGTTACTTATAAATACAAAAGCCTTATTTCAGTTGAAAAATTGATGTACATACCAATCAAATACTTCACACTATACAGCTGCAAACAGTTGAGAATGAGTAACAACATACACATATATATATATATAAAACAAAATATACACACACACAGTTAATACTAATTTTGTACGTAGCTACAAGTCTCACGAATAGGATAAAGTAAATATATCTACATACCTGTATACTCCAACAACACCTCTGGTTGTGCTCCTTAAATGTCTAAACCTCATTGCCATTGGCAAATCTAGACTAGTGGCTCGCCGTGTAGACTTCAGGAATAGATCTTCATCATGAGCAGAATGAAACATAGGAGGCCTACGGTGCTGAGAAGCAAGGAAGTTGAACATGTCATGCTCTTTCCTGTTTCTGTAAGGTTCTGTTCGAGCACACCCTGTTGGATTCTCAGGAAGCTAAATTCATGAAAACATGAGCTACTTTTTAGAAAGATATCATATATTTTTGGTTTAATTCAAAAGCAGCCTATAAACTAGCAGTATATTAATAATATAAAATTGGAGCTTATTAAAAACAGGAGCACCAAAGTAATAATTGCTAAACTATTTAATTATCAATTTTCTGTAACATCATACTTTGATGATTTATACAAGTAAACATGCAATAATGTCATTTAGAAATAACATACAAATTATGTCAAGGATATGACTACAATAATATTATACAGTTCTGCTATTTTTTATACTAGCACTCTATGTATCAGTTCCCTTTTTTTTACACTAGCACTCTGTGTATCAGTTCCCTTTTTTATACTAGTACTCTATGTATCAGTTCCATTTTTTTATACTAGCACTCTATGTATCAGTTCCCTTTTTTATATTTACTAACTTTTTTCCTATAACCTAATAATATAGCTTAAGAATATATTTTTTCATCATTTATGCTTCTGAGTGAAATCTTATGCATACTGATAAACAGTATAAGCAACAAAATATGTAATTGTTAGGGCATAACATAATGCAAAAACTGAGAATAAATGATTCAAAATCAGACTTAATTGTAAGTAGTATTCAAAAAATCATACTGAGTAGGCTCACAACATGATATACGAGACAAATGTCAAACACCTACTTAAATATTTACTCTTTATAGCAAGAAAACAATTGTATGCTACTAACCTTCTCCCTTGATCCTACTGGACGGTGGAAACGGAAAGTGTAGTTATTGCATTCCTCTACTCCATGAAGCTGCTCCAACATATAAACCACTGCTTCATGTTTTAAGCCCATCCAAGCCAGTCCATCAATGTCTGGAATAATAACTTATGTTCATGTTTGCACAATAACTTCAAATTTTCGTATTATATATATATATATTTATACACATACATATGTTAAAGAAAAAAAAATAACAAAGAAAGAGAGACAAAAAGAACAATTACATATTTTAAAACATGCCTGCATACAAAGTTACACTGACCTAGCATACAGAAGATCCATCCAATTTCCTATACCCAAAATATAAATTTATTAATTTTCAGAATTCCCTTTATGAATAAAGCATACTACTACAAAAGATCCCAGTAAGCCTAAAAATTTACCATATATATAATATTACATATAGTCACACTATAAGTGCTGACTGGAGTGTCTTAGGCATTTTGTATGGTGAAAAAATGACAGTGAACTCCAAACAAGATTATGTTTATTTCATTCAGCAGTTCATTTCCACAAGTTCTTCAGCAGCAATCTACTACTTACAGTTGTACAAACAAATGCTGAGTAAAATAAATATAATGTTGTTCTGTAGCTTACGGTCATTTTTTCATCACATAACAAGTAAATATATGGTATAAGTACAACTGAATTAATATAGATCAAAAGAACACTAAAGTTGTAGCAAATTCTAATTAGCACAGCAATGATCTTAACCCAATAACACGAAAATGTTTCTTTTTTAAATTGCAGTGCATTGCCCATTATCTAACACTCACTCACTTAGTTAAAATAACCAGTATCAGACACATTAATTGGTTTACTACTGCTCTATACTACATACAAGCCCTCTTGCTCTAAACTCTTCAATACTATCACACACGCCAGATATTGTATTATGTCAGTTCTGCTACTGATCACACAAACATTAAAACTGGCCAAGTTATACAATTAGAAGTACAAAAAAGTTTGATGAGAGAAAAATATGAAAGATCATATTAGAAATGAATTGGAAGTTTGTAGAGACTGGATAAAAATTAAAGAGGAAGAGGAGAAATGCTTGAGAGTTAAGAAGACTTGTTAAGAAAACAGTTACTGGATTAAAAAGATGAATATCAAACCATATTATTTCCAACACAAACATCACTCGGGTTGATGCTGTACACCAGAAAGTGTTACTAGATTAGATGTTACTATTAAAGACTATATTAATAGACAAAATATTCCAAGACTGACCATGTCAGTTTCCAGAACAACAATAAATCTCTGATCCCAATTAGCTTGACAAGCAAACAAACAGAAGCTATAATGTGTGAGCAGAGCACGTATATCAAAGACTGCTTTTCTTCTCTATTTCTGTGCTGCAGTCATATGACTGTTCCAAGAAATGCACCTTCCACAATTATAACAGACACAAACAACCCATTTCCTTATCAGGAGTCATGTTCAAGGATTACCACTAATGAAAAAGAGAAACATGTCATATGTAAAAATGTAAACAGGAGTGTAATAAATTTTAGAAGATACTTTGGAGTAGAAGAAAGACTTTCAAACCTTATTGACTTGCACATGTTCATAATGCAAGAGGAAATCAAGCATCTCTGAAACCCAGCATACATCACAAGGGTACTTATGTCATTCACTTCACATTGTACTCCAAACTAATCATATTCTTTCCTATTAAACAACACTATAATACACAATTTTATTTTTGATTTCATTAAAGAATATTTAATCTAAAATTCAGTCTTCTGATATGACTTACATCTAAAATGTTTGATTTACAATAAAACAAAGAAATGATGATCTCCAAATTATCTTGACTGTATGAAACTCACTGAATTTTCAACAATAAGTGAGAAAACAATCACACACATTCCTCAGCACAATGGTAAAACAAATGGAACTATAGGAAGGTAAAGCAAGTCACTCAAATTGTATCTTTACATGTCCACTTATGATTTTTTTTGGTTATTTCAAATGTATATATAAAACCTAAACAAAATTTTCACATCCTCCATGTGGGAAATTTCATAAGGCTTAGCAACCTACGACAAGCAGCAAACGAGTATAAAGGTCGTAACTAAAAGAGATAATTGTTTGCTTTACTTCTTTATTTACTGTTCTATGTTTTAAGAAAAAAAGTTTAAGAACTTATTTGTAAATAGTATTAATGTATATAATGTATAATAATTGAAATGTATATAATGTATAATACATTATATACATGTATATAATATATAATAATTGAAATGTGACTATTTTACAAAATACTAGTCCACTAAAACACAGTAAAGACAGGTCATTATGTAAAGACTAAATATCAGCTTCATCTTATTGGATATGGTATCATGAGTTCATGTGCGCTGCGTCATTGTAATTTCTGTATTGTTAGCCAGGCATGGCTGGAAGGTCAATATAATAAAAATAATAAATATATATAAATGTATAATGTTATGAGATTTAAGCTATTTAGACTAAACATTTATGTTTTCGGGTTATAAATTATAGTCATTCTAGAACAAAAAAAACATAACTTAAAATCATTTTCTAATTATTTATGGTGGTTACGAAGCCAGTCAAATTGACAGACCCCATAGAGTTAGGATAGAAAAAATATAAAGATTTACTGAAAACAAATGTTTGAAATGTATTTAGGAGGTTTTACAGATTACAAAAAATAATATTTGAGATTTTTGGGACTAACAATAGTTTTTTAGTTATAACATGAAAATCACTTCACACTTCAACTGGTAAAGAAGTAGACTCGATATTTTCACAAACAAATCTATAATAAAAATACTTTCTTAAAAAATCTGATTTTTTGTGTACAAAAGACTTGTAATCTTTAATAAAAGTCTACCAAATTTTGTGAAGACACACTTCCTAAATTAAAAGTTATAGTATAAATACTTAACATGTGCAAATATGTATACAAACTTGTGTATATTATACTGAGCCTGTCTTGAAAGGGTTAATGTAAATTTTAACTTTACACTTCTAAACAGATAATTACATTAAATATTTTTATTTCTTACTCAAATCCTGACAAATAATGATAGATTATCATAATTTCTTGATTTATGTTGTTTTGATGTTTTTAAATGTTTAAAAGAGACAATTTTATCATCTTTTTAAAATTTAAAACTGCACATAAAACCTTCCTAAATAATGTTAACTTACTGTCAAGATTCAGTGGTGGTAGATGAGCAGCTGCCCTAGCATCTGCTATTCTTTCCCACAGAACATTCCACACTTCTACAAATAGAAAAATACAAGAAATTTAAGGATTTTTTTAAGATGTGTTGATGTATCATAGTTTATGACACGCAATGTAAAAAAAAAGATCTTTAGTCCTTATTGCAATTTTAGCTTTGCAGTAATACACGTTTACATAATAGAACTCAAATCATATCTGATTGAACATAACTCATCATTTGAATAATTTGAGAGGGAGCAAACAAATACAATATTATATACCTATATTAAAAAAAAGTTGGATTCCAGAATTGCTTTCCTAAAATTTTTATTTTTAGTGCCACTTTCTAACTGAATACATTTCAACCCTCTTTTTATCAAGCTCAGAATGTGAACCCACTGTAATAGCCTTGCTAATTTGATGTTAACTCTGTTGCACCATGCAATACTAAAAATACTGTTTGAATATACTTTACCTGGGAAAGTCTACATGTAACATGAATAAGCTTTAGAGATCCAATACATTTCTCAAATTATCAAATAATTTGTGATTTATATTATACATAGTGAATGAGTCTAATCTGCGCCACTATGGCAAGCAAAAATGAAAATGGGTAATGTATTATTATTTTATATTTAATACATATACTCTAATCTACATGTACACTTTTCATTATTTGCTATTACATGATGTAATGTTTGGTGCTACATACTAAAACCCACAGGAATCAATAAAGTAAATTAGTGTAATGCTTTATACTACAAATTACATTCCTTCAAGCTGTGAAACTACATCTTTAGTTTTCTTTGAAGTTTCTTTAAACATTTCTACTAAACATTTTACAATGTATATTAATTTACAAAATACTTGTAATCACTACAACACTGCCTTTTACTGTAAAGCTTCATACAGTTACTCAGCTTTCTTTCATTACAAATGCAGTATTCAATAGCTATTATTAATTGTTAATGAATGGTAACTACAAAGAAGAAAATACCATCAAGATCATGAGAACTTGCATAGAATCCATCAGTACTGCTGACTTCAAACACAATAAAAGGCTGATTTTGTTTAGGATTTTTGTCTTCTGCAGAGCTGAGATTTAACTGTTCCTGCTGATGCAAGGCCATGAGAATGGAACAGTCTATTTCATGCTGGTCTCCTTCAGTATCTACTAATGGTCTATGCTTAGGAAGAACTATGACTTCAGGAGCACTGGAACTGGCAGAGTATAATGAAGCTGCATAGTCATAAAAAAGATATTTAAATATCATGTAGAAAAAGAAAAAATATTAAAGCAGTTAAACTAAACTATAATATAATGATTACCACACACACACACACATATAATAAGTGGTTAAAGTGATTAGGAAAAAAATGTATTTATACGAGCACAAAAATTATCTTAATAGTAAGGCTGATAGTGTCTTGCTTCAATATGAAACTACATCTAACCTAATTATAGAAGTCACTATTTGTGCCACCTATAATCAAAGGTCAAGCTGCAAAACAGATTGGCTTGAATAATAAAAACAATTCTATAAAATTTTAATTTATGTGTCAAAATTCACTTAAGTGAATAACAAATAAAAATATAACTTTTTCAAATTAGAAATATCAAACAAATTTTAAATGACAAATATTCTTGTCACAACCCAAGACTGATATATTTAAAAAATTAAATGCACATCATTATGACTTTCTGTGGACAACCAAACTATGTTTTCAGAAATTTAATAGATAATTATCATTTAAAGCAACTACAGGATTTATACAAAATTATTGTTCCTTCTTTTCCCCAATACTTCATTTTTTACTATGTGCTTAGATATACCACCCTCTAGTGTGTAATTTTTTTTTTTTGAGCACCTAAAAGAAAATATTATCTAATGACAAAGAATTCTTTAAAGGAAAATAATTTCAGGCTATTTGATAAAATACAAAATAAGTCACTTCTGTATAACCCAAGCCCAGAACATCAAGGTAAAATGCTTTGATGAAATAATAACATTCTCCCAGAGTACCATTAAATCTTCTCATTGGTGTTTACCTAAGTAACAAGTAATAACATATATGGGTGTTTTTTACACATTATTATGTGACAAATTACTCAAAACAATTTAGTTAATCTTTATTTGTAAGTCTCTAAAGCTGTAGACCTAAAGAATTTAGTAATTTTGTTTCAAAGCAGAATCTGTCAAAATAAAGTTGATGTTAATATTGTCAAGCCTATTTACTGAAAGACAGCAGATGGTGAAACTGCCATCAAGTGTCTATCTCTACCTACTATCAAGCTATAAACTTGTTATTAATGGGAAATATTTTCAGAATTGTATTATGTGAGCACATCAATATTACGACAAAGAAATATGCAGCTCCTGATGTTTTTACTTTCCATAATTCTATTGGCCTACACTTTTGTGTATATATGATAAGAAAGCAATGCTTTCTTCATAAAACATAATTAGTTAATTCAGAATACCAAAATACTAAAACTGCATCTAATTCTTTCCCTGTTTCAGATCCTATAATGACTCTATGGATATACTTATTTGACTACTTACCCAAGTAAGTATGAGTGAAGCATATCCAAGTATTATTGAAAGAGAGTATAGAGTTTCAGCAACCTGACCTCTCATCATTCACATTGCACTTTGAGCATCACGTGTGATATTCATATAACGCTCTCTTCCAATCTCACATGTGGAATCAAAACAACTAGTTCACATGGCCACGTTCATGATGCATCAGCTGCATATCAAATAAATGCAGCTGTTTATCACGTGTGATACTCAGGCACTTTGGCATTATGTCCCGTGGATCACATGTGATGCACATTACAGGGATAAGGTTAAATTTTAAGGCTGGCATAATTCTCAGAACTACACTACAATTATTTACTGTATCTGTATAATATTCTCTTGCTCTTATTCTTTATATGTCATATTAAGTAAATGGCTACAAACACTGCAGGTTTGTACAAACTTATTCAAGATTTTAAAATATCAAAAGTAGCTTCTAAAATTCATCAGAAACATAAAAATGTAAATCTGCATCATGCTAAAGAGATGATCCTTGTAATACAGCTTAATGTTACTCCCAGTTACATAAAAGTATGATTTCAGAAAATAATTCAGTGATTATTTAAGTATTGTGATGAAGCTTAACAAATTTCTACTAAAGCATAACCCCCAACACGCAAATACCCTTTCATCACAACTGACAATATTTGATTATTATTTAAACTGGTGTCTTAACCTAAAACACTATACATTAAACAATGTTTATTTACAACATTTTAATTATAGAGAGACTTCATGATATAACATTTAAAATCACAGTATTCAAAAGAAACATGAACATTACAACATTTCATCACTTTAATCTGATACCTTGATACAGAAATGCTGCAATGCCCATGTTTCTTTTTTAAGCCTCATTTTTGTTTTTAATATACTGATGACAACTGGTTAAAAAGTGCCACTGTATATTTATTTATCAAAAGGTTTCTTAGAATTTTTTTGCTTCATAAATGTTAAATAGAGGATTAGTTAATAGCTAGAAAAGTTATTTTATGAATCTCAATGCAGTTTTTTCATTTCAATATGAACCTAATCAGAAAGAAAATCATTTTAATATCACAAATGAACAGAACAAGGTTTAGCATCAGCTTAACTAACTCCAGTTAACAGTTGCAATAACAGAATATCTTACCAAGCTCTACAAAAGACTAAAGCATAGTATAAATTAATGTTTTTATTATTACCACTTTTAAAGTAACTTACAATTTTCCTTACTGGAGTGTGCTGGGGATGTGGCTTTTCTTAACACTTGAGAAGAGGTGGATGAAAAAGTCCTATTGTTTTCCAAAGTAACTTTGTCAACTTTTTTACCAGGAACAGGGTCTTTAGCTTTAAGATTTTCAGCATTATATATTTTAGTCACATGGTTGGAAAAACTACCTTTCTTATTATTTGGTTCAACATTTTCATCTTCTGTTCCAGAAAAAACAGTAAGATCAACTATGGACTGATCAAATTTCCCTGTTTTGTTCATCTTTGGTTCTAAAGTTGCACAGCTTACATGTGTGCTTTTTGTCCTTGGAATATACAGTGGTGAGGGTAATGGTACTTTACTAACAGAAGGCTGTGTGTTCAAATTATTACATTCCATTTCACCTAAACATGGATAATTTGGCTGTAGAATGTGATTGGCAGGTGCAGGAAAACTAGTTCCTTGAACAGGTAGCCTCATAGCTATTGCTGACAGAGATTTGGAAGTATCAGTTTCTTTAGATGTAATAGGCTTACTACAAATGGCAAGTTTTTTTTCCTTTACCTTATCATATTTACTATTCTGAAAACTCCTAAAATTTTTAACACGTGATCGAAAAAAAGGAAGTTTCGATTTTGTAGGTTTTTGGGATAAGTCACCCGTAGAAGCTTGATGCTGTTGCTTTCCTACAAGCTGAGAAGAAAGTGATATCATCTGTTGGGCTGCCTTGTCAAGAACTGTTTTATTCAGTATATGTTTTTCTGACTTATCACAAGATGGTGTGGTCATTTCAATATTTGAACTATTTTCTACATTTAAATTTGATAAACACTGTGTTTCTACTTGTTGAATAGTAGTTCCTGATGTCTTTGGAAACCCTATATCCATGTGAGAATCAGAAGACTGATTTACAACATTTTGACAGTGTTTGAACTGTCCTGCCACTTGCAAAATTGGTGAAATTTGAGTATGCTCAATGTTAGCTCCCCAACAGGAAGTAGGGAGTGTTGCCTGAGTTGGCCAAGAGCCATTGACAAGCTGAATGGTATGATTGGTTGGTGTAAGCAACTGACTGTTCTCAGGAGGAGAAGTAAAAACTAGAGGACTGTTATGATGAACTGTAGAAACCAAAGGAGAATTAAGATTCACAGTATTTAGTGGAACAGAGTTAACTGGAGTAAGATGTTGCTGTATAACAGGTAGCTGCTGTGTTGATATCAGGGTTTGTGGTAAAGCTGCTTGGAAACTAGAACAAGGTCCAGAAAATTCCGAAAGATTATTATTAATGATAGGAAATGTGTTTTGAACCTGGTACCTAGTTTCTGAGAAAGAGTACTGAACAACAGGATTTACCAACACATTGGGAATAGTGACTTGAGGGACTGGAAGAGTTACACTCAGTTTTTGGGCAATAAATGTTTCAAGATTCATGGTCAAGGAGTTGAAATCACCATTAGGAAGGCTGAATGAACCAAGGTAAGTAATCTGTGAATTCTGTGCTACATTCAAAACTGGAGAAGCCGAAGCAGTCAGTCCATTTAATAATGTTGGCACTTGGGTTCCACAAAAAGTACCATCAAGGTAACTGCTATTATCTGCAGGTACTAAAACAGTTCCTCCCGAGACCTGTCTTATTTCCATGTTATTTGTAAAGTTTGAACCTGATGGTAAAAAAACACTAGGTTGTATATGGTTTTCAATAGGAACAGCAACAGGGTTTATCGATGTTCCCATGACTATATTATTGACACCCATTATTCCACTAGCTACTGGTGCTTCCTGAAGATGTTGAACAGATGTCAGCCCATATGGAAGACTAATATCACTAGGCACAGACTGAGTAAACACTGACGAACATGCTTCTTGTACTACTACTGCTGGTTTTTTGGGAAGAATATGTTTCTTTGATGACAAAATATTTGGCATGATTTTTCTTTGTTCTTGAGTGCGGTTTCGTTTTTTTAAACCAGGTGAAACATCTCCTAATCCTATAAATGTTTTTGATTTTGGTTTACATTCAACAGCTATGGTATTACTTTTCTTACTATTTTCCATCTTGTTATTTGAAATATTATCATGTGACTTAAACTGGTTTATAAACTCCTGATCAGATTCATTCCTCTCAGCAGATGAGGTTCTACTTAATGAAGAAAGGGCAATGTTATTGAGTAGAGATTTTTCACTGGATCTCGGCAGCTCACTACTAACTTGCAAATTTACATGATTTTGTGCTGAATTACTTGAAAATTCATCTTGAGAAACACTAGCTTCTTTAGAAGTCTGCAAAAAATGTTTATTTATTACATACCCTGACTCTTCTAATTTATGGTTATTCATCAAATGTCCCTGATTTACACACTTTTCATCAACAGGTACTTTCAAGCTAACTGCAGTTGGTGAAGATTTATTGAAAGACAGAACTGAACATGCTTCCTGCAAAGGGTTTGCAATATTTTGGATTGGATTAGATGTATTAAGCAAGACATCCTTAGTAGGTGGGTTTGGAGAAAACTTCTGGAAGTTATCCTTAATGCTCTGATCTGGGAATGTGCTTTTCGAAACATCATTAACCAAATGATCTTCATGTGTGTTTTGTAGATCATCAGTTGAGTGTTTTGTGTTAGAATGTCCTTGAGAAACATTGCTCTTGTTTTGCTTTGTGGATGTGGTTTGTAGAGATTTTTTAATGTGGTAGTTTGTACAAGACAAATCATATTCAGCATCTTCAATTCTCTCTTCTGAGGATAAGTTCTTAACTTCCTTGTTAGTGGTTTCTGTACAAAAAGATTTCTGATAACCTTTCATCCCAAGCTGTTCTGTTGATGTTTTTTGAGTAACTTCATCGATAGATTGATTTACATTTGCTTTCTCAAGAGATTTCACTATGCTGCAATCTATTAAAGGGGATTTCTGGACATTTTTTTCGTTGAGTTGATCTGGAGATGTGTTCTGGAAAGGAACCTCTGAGGTATGATCTGTACAAGAAGATTGCTCTTTTTCTCTGAAGTAATGGTTTATTGACGCGTTTTGAGATTCTTTAGTAGACTGGTTTGGACTAGAACATGATATAGGGAGTTTTGTGAATGATCTTTCTACAGCTTCATTTTTAAAAGACTGAACAGTGCTTATTTTTGAACCACTGTTTAGTTCAGATACAACAGGAAGCCTAGCGAGCTTATTCTCAAGTTGGATCTGAAATTCATTTAAATGCGAACTGTTATTTTCTAGAAAGCTATCACAGTTCTGGTCATTAGTATCTGATACTTTTAATATTTTCTTTTTAGCAGAATATTCAACAAAACAAAAGTTCTTATTCACAGAACCAACACCTACACTAGTCTTGTAGTCTTCATAAGTACAATTACTGACATCTAATTCCTTAGTGATCCCATTCACAATTAGCTCTTCCTGGTGAGCTTGCTTTTTGAACCCATTTATTGGGTGGGATATTTTATGTTCAAACTCAATTTCATGACTTTTCAGGTACCTCTCCACAGTGTTAGAATCAAGCCTGCTGTACAAACTAGACAAACGAGCTGGTGTATGTCTCAGCTTACGTTTTAATGGGTAACTTAATTGTTTTGTGTGTTCAGTACAATGTGCATTTTTTTTCCCATTTACAAAGCATCTGCTTGTTTCTTTATTTACTTTAATAGAAGAATCAATATTATTTTGATACAGCTTCTCATTTTTAACAGCAAAAGCATTGTTATCACAAGATTCTACCTTTTCTGATTTGAGAAGGTCAGCATTTTGATAACGACGATTCCTCAAAGGGTATTTTTTTAGTACTTCAGTTGAACATCTTTTTCTTTTTTTCTGGGAACTAACAGAAGAGTTGCCATTTTTGCAAGATTCAACACTTAGAACATCTGTCCTTGGAGAATTCTCTTGTTTACTTATTTCATTACCACTACATTCTTTAATGATTGTTTCTTTTTCATACATACAATTTTTGCTGGGACAAGTGGACTGCTTTGCAGCTAACTTGCTTGTTGTCAACTCATCCGAAAGACTAAGAATTTTATTCTCAACCTTTAAAGTAGAATTTAATACATTACTTTTGTCCACATATAAATTTTCATCATAAATAGCAACATCACCTTTTTTATGTCTTCTATTTGAAAAGGAAACATCTATGGATTCTTTAGCATTTTGCTTTTCCTTACAAAAAGAAGGCTTAAGAACACAACTTGCTTTCAATATATCTCCAGAAACCTTTTTTGGTTCTTCCTTAATTTTATCAAACTCATTCTCTTTAAGGACTTCAGTTTCTTTATTTTCTTGACTATTTGACAATGATATATCAGTATAAGAATTATTTTCTAAAATACTATCTTTCATTTGTTCAGATGTGATTTCTGTGAGTTTCTCTTTCTGATTTCTACTCTCTGAAAACTGAACGGACAAAGCTTCTTGGTCCTTTACATTCACAATATCTTTGTCACAGGTCATAAATTCTTCTTCCTCCACCTTGTCAAATGATGGCACAATACCTGAAATTTTGTCACAAGAATGGACACAAATATTTTTATCAGTATCACAAGAAATGATGCTGGAAAAAGAAGATGCATCAGATCTTCTAACACTATCAGAAGAAAATGCAATGTCTTTTGTCAAACTATCACAAAATCTGGTATTAACTGTTCCAGCTGTCTCACAAGATGTAGCATTATTTGTTACAGGACTGCATTGCATTTTACTGTCATATGACGTATCAATCTTTTTAACTGTGTCAACAGCAGCTTTTACTTTTGTAGCCAGTTTACAAGTAGTGTCACTGAGTTTTGTTTCACAAGATGATGCACTGACTTTTGACATTCTATCAAAAGATATATCACTAACTTTATTGACTGTGTCACAGGAGATACTACTCATCTCTTCAACTATACCAGTAACAGCAGCATTGACTTTCTTAGCTGTGCTAGAAACAGAAATGCTAACCTTTGTAGCTGTGCCAGGATCAGCAGTACTGACCTTTGTAATTGTGTCATGAACAGAAGTGCTAACTTTTGTAATTGTGTCGTCAACAGAAGTGCTAACTTTTGTAATTGTGTCGTCAACAGAAGTGCTAGCTTTTGTAATTGTGTCATCAATAGAAGCGCTAGCTTTTGTAGTTGTGTCGTGAACAGAAGTGCCAGCTTTGGTAATTGTGTCGTGAACAGAAGTGCTAGCTTTGGTAATTGTGTCGTGAACAGAAGTGCTAGCTTTGGTAATTGTGTCGTGAACAGAAGTGCTAGCTTTGGTAATTGTGTCGTGAACAGAAGTGCTAGCTTTGGTAACTATGTCGTGAACAGAAGTGCTAGCTTTGGTAATTGTGTCGTGAACAGACGTGCTAGCTTTAGTAACTGTGTCGTGAACAGACGTGCTAGCTTTAGTAACTGTGTCGTGAACAGAAGTGCTAGCTTTCGTAATTTTGTCGTCAACTGAAGTGCTAGCTTTGGTAACTGTGTCGTGAACAGAAGTGCTAGCTTTCGTAATTTTGTCGTCAACTGAAGTGCTAGCTTTGGTAATTGTGTCATGAACAGAAATGCTAGCTTTGGTAATTGTGTCGTGAACAGAAGTGCTAGCTTTGGTAATTGTGTCGTCAACTGGAGTGCTAGCTTTTGTAATTGTGTTAATAACAGTACCAGTGACTTTTGTACTTGTGTTAGGAATAGTTGCACTGACCTCTGCTGCTGTGCCTGGAATAACATCACTGACATTTTTAACTGCATAAGTACCAGCAGCTTTGACTTTTGTAACTGTGTCAAAATTAGTACTGATTTCAGTCACTGTGTCACAAGATTTTTCACTTACTTTTTCTAAGTCTACAAGAGCAGTTCTAACATCTGCTTTTGTATTGCAAGAAACAGATCTAACATTTTGCAGTGTGTCACAAACAGAAGAACAAGCACCCATATCTTTATCACAAGAAATATTAAAATTCCTCACCAAGCCAAAAGTGAAATTATTGGCTTTTTCCAAGCTGTCACCATTGTATGGGCTGAAATTTGTAATTTTGTTGCAAGCATTTGAACTAGCACTTGTAAAAGATGAGTCACAAGTTTCAGTATTAATATTTGCATCTGTATTAAATTCTAAAGACTCTGGTTTTAAAGGATTCCTTATTTCTTGATATGTTGCTTCCTTTTTTTGAACTTCAGAAGAATTATTTAATGATTGTGCTTTCTCTCTGTTTGTAAGCTCATTAACAGAATTTTTAAAACCTAAATTATTGTCACATGTCACTTGAGTTTTTCTTAAAGCTAAGCTCGTTGCTATATTACTGTCATTTCTATTATCTGTGACAGAATTATCAGACTTGTTTATACTCTTCTGTGTCTTTGACTGAATTATCACAGAATCTCTTTTCTGATGTTGGTCTGATAACTTGAATATTTTTTCAATGTCTGAGGCATAAGCTTTTTGATCATCTAAGTTTATCTTAGCTAATTCATTATGCAAATTTATTTCTTTAGGTTCAAATTCAAGAGATGACTTTCTTTTGCAAGGCAAGAAGTTTGATAAATTCTTTTCAAAAGCTGCATTTATGGATTGGTTAGTGACATTTGTTCTGGATTTATCTGCAACCTCTGGAGTGTCAGTATCACAGTAATGTACTCTGTTCACATTTTTATGGACAGAATGTTTATTAAGGTTGGACAATTCTGGAATGTCTCTTGATAAGTTATGCATTTCTCTGGTTTGAGATATTTCAAAAGATTTCTCAGAATCTGTGAAATCCTGGAGATGTTGAAACTTATCCCTGCAAGCAGAAACCACTTCTTGACTAAGATTTTTCATGTCTGTTTTCAGTGATACAGAATCTGAAAGTTCAGTGGAACAAAGAAATTCATCTTCCATATTGTGAGCTATTGTTTGATGTTCCTCAATGTCTTTTTCAACTGATGACTTCTCGGGCCAAACTTCATAAGTACGACAGGTATAAACAACTCTTTGTTGGGGATTCTTAGTACTCCAAAACACTCTTGTGCAACTAGAATAACACCAAAATCAAAGCTTACAGAACATATTAAAAAACAAACTAACAGTTTAAATGTGTAAAGTAAAAAATAAAGAGGCCATAAAATTCTAAACAATTAAAAAAATATGTAGAAATCTTTAGCCCTACATTTACTCTTTATCAGTCTAAAAGATAAAGAAGCTCAAACGTCCATGCCTTTAAGTTTATGCTAATCAACTTTTACATCTACATTTTGATGCCCATAAATGTTTATTACTTTTTTCATCAGCCTATATTTACCATATTTCTATACTATTCAGAAAACAGACAAGCCAGATTAAACCATATCTCTACATTTTATGTTGTTCAGTTTTTGTGCTAATACCACGCTGGTAAAAACATCCAGTTTTGCATTGTAATTTGTGATATGAATATAAGTTTTGCAATGTACAACCTTCACTGTGACATATCATTTGTTAATTAGAAGTCTGTCAAAAATCCCACCTATAGTATACTAATAATGGCATTTCTGATGTCAAAAGCCAATCATATATCTCCATAGACTTACATTGATTAAAACAAATTGCTTACTACAGATTCCACAAAATTTACAACTTAACCAGCAAAAACAATCATGATATATATATTGCCAGCACAATTTGGACATAGTAGATCGCTCTTTGAAGTTGGTTTTTTGGTTGTTTCTTGACTTGCCGGTCGAGTATGGCCCAGAGGTTTTCAATGGGGTTCATGTCAGGAGATTGGCTCGGCAAGGGCAACTTCTGGATACCATTTCTTCCTGCCACTTTTGTGTGTTTCTAACAATAG